CGCCCTCTTGGATCTATGTTTGTTTTCCTCAGGTTTTCACTCTGAGCTCTGTACTTCAAGAACTTTGTTTTGAGCTAGTTACTCCAGCTTTCTCCATTATGGATTTTAATGTACCCTCTTGGGCTCTTCTGAGTTCAACTTTTGGTTTGGATCTGCAAACTGACACTTCACTACAGCCCACCTAAGTCTCTTCATGGGAGAAGATAAAATATCTATAAATAATCTTGAACAAATTTCTATAAATCATCCTCCAGAATTCTGCTTATCTTCTTACATAACCATAATAAATAGCTGGTTTTAAACCATGCTGTTCATCAGAATTAAATATGAAGCTTCTTAAAAATACTTATAGTCAAGTCTTAAACCTGCAGATTATAATTCAGAAGGTCAGAGGCAGGTCCTCATCATCCATATACTAAAAGTGCCAAATTTGATTCGGCTGGCACCTGGAGTTAAGAAACACTGATATAAAAATTATAAGAGATGGTTCATATCTTCTCTGTTTTACTACAGCATGGACAAGGTGAGAAAAATGGGGATGGAGTGTGAGAAAGAGAAAAGGGAGTAAATTACCTTTTCCATCTGTTTTTTGAGAGGAGAAAATATGGCAGTCCAGGGCTAGGCAAAACTGTAACATAAACCAAGTTTGGTTTTATTATTCCTATCACTTATTTTTCTACATATTTCTCTTATCTCTTGGCTTTCAAACTCTTTTCTTGACCTCTAAAGTATTTGAGGGCACTCATGTTGCATACATAGCCACCCATTTCATCATATCACTCAGTCCTATTTCTTCCTGCTTATTCCTTGTTTTTGTGACAAGCAAAACTCTCAACCCTCTGTTCATTTCAAGTATGTATCAGGAAAGCAAATAACACAGATATTGCTATTAGCTTTTCCCACTGAAGCCTAGCATTATTTACCTGGTAACATCAACGATTCTCGATAGATATTTCTGACAGGAAGACCTTTCCATGAATCGACTATGCCAATGATTATTTGTAGTTGCCAGTCACTGTTCTAACAAGCCTTCCGAACACTTTTTCTTATATGAATCCTGGGGCCACATCCTATCAACCCGCAGCAAATAACAGCAACTTCCATTCTAGAGAAGAAAATATGAAACCGCCTCTAGTCAGGCAGGATCCAAAACTGATGTTTGAGAAACTGCTACCTGAGAGACTCTCATTTCTAGTGTGCAAAAATTTGGAGCTATTTTGTTCAACTAATTTCTCCAGAAGACTCAAACATTATTTTATGAATGACAAAGTAGTAAGTAAATAAACTACGTGAATCAAGAAGAGATTCTAGGGAAATAGTTTACGGTGTAAACTGAAATGAGAAAGGAAATCTCATTCATTCTAAAAATTGTGTCATTCTACTCAGTGAAATGAGCATTAGGATTATCATTATCATTGTTTCTGAGAAAGACATGATGAAGAATAACAGAAGAAAAGACAGTTACGAAGAGAAATAGTGACTATAACAGTCAAAAAGAAGGAAACAATTGCAAACATTCCCCATGCCTTTATTATTCTGCCTGTAATATTCCTCCCACTTCCCTGTCTGATTAACTTCTTACTCATCTTTCAGGACATTCTGGGTATCTATCACCAAACTAAACATATCCTCAAATCCTCATAGGCTGAGATAACATGCTACTCTGCTATAAGAGGACAGATACAATATACTGTCTTAAAGCACTTACCTCACTATTTTGAAACTAATGTTTGAGGATAAAAAAACAGATGAAGATTGGTACCATATTTTGTGCTCTCCAAACTCTATATTGAACTGATCATCTGTTTACTAAATTCTGGTTTATTTAAAAAAAATGCCATTGCTTTAAGTAAATATTAACTATATAGGAGTGAAAAAAATATTAACTATTTAGGAGTGAAAAAAATATATGAAATTCCTGGCAATCGTTGAAAAGACTAGGGCAACATTCTCTGTGCTGATATGGAAAGATTATCAAAATATATTATATAAAAAAGTAAGGCAATAACAGTACATATATTTGTTTCCCAAAACATATAAGAATATAGAATGTGTTAATGTGTATGCATACCTTTTCCTGGAAAGATACACAAAAAATCAGTATGAGTCTGGGAACTTTGTATTTTCATTTTTTTCTATGTTGTCTGAATTTTCTATTCTAAATAATTTTTACAAAAGAATATTTTAAGTTACTCAGAAGGATTATCTGGCTCCTAGGATTGAGGGCTTTTTTAAAAAAATCCTTTGAGAGTGAAGATGATAGTGCATACATTTTTTTAGCACCACCACTTACTGTACAGTTGAATACAGTTGGCATTCGATGAGTATTTGTTCAACTGAACTTTGTTTGTCATCTATTTCAGTTTCTTATCTCTTTTCCAAAGAATTAACTTTTTATGAGCTGTTCCCTCATTTCTCATTATTATACATAATGTGCCAAGTATAATGTCTTAAAACCAGCAGCTGCTCAATAAATGTTTGTTCAATGCACCTCTCTTAATCGTGTGAAATGCAGCTGCCAAGGTGGGAAACAGTGATTTCCACCCCCCCATTCCTAGTCACTTGTTTTCAACACACATTATATAAACTCCATCTACATCAATCATGTTTGAGTCAATGTGCTCAGTTCTGAAGATACAAAAGTCAATAAAACCCAATATCTATATCCTCAAAGCTCATCAATCTATCAAATCTTTCCTTAGAAGGAAAGAAATGGAAATGACTGGATATGTGGAGGCACCAATCTTCCTTCTCCCTTCACGTTTTTCAAGGACCTCTATCTAATATGCCCTATTCAAATTCATTTTAATTAGGATGCATGGCAATGAATATTTATTAACTGTTTAATGCAATAATCCGTTAGAAAAGGTACATGAAGACTGATATAAAATGGATTGGCAAAAGAGTAACTAGTTAATTTCTTAAATTTTTAAAATCTGGCAAGCAGTTTCTTTAGAGCAATCCATTAAGAACAGGATTGAAGAACCAGATATCTGATGAAAAGTACACCAATGACGTTTTCTGGTTACCACAAAATAATGATGGTCACCTAAATCGGAATCTCTTTACATATTTGACAAAAACCAGACAGAGGAGAGATCAAGTTACTCACAACTCACACCTACACAATCAACTTTGATTTAAAATATAAGTTAGGAAATAAACATCCCAAACCAGCAAAATGAGCTCTGGAGATCACCCCAGATGGAGAGTAAGGTGGGACTGTAGAAAAAAGGATGTGACAGAGAGTAGAGTGCACTACCAAAGAGAGAGGATCCCATCCTTGGTGGAGAAGTACTGAGACTACGTCTGAGACATGATGGTACAGAGTAATGGCTAATAGCTTATAGCAGGACCCAGAGATGGCAGTCTTAAGATGGTACTTGCCTGATGAGGAGAGGGAGGCACCTTGGAATAGGAAGACATTGTTGGGAACAATGATGATGAAGTAAAAGGAGGAAGCAGGCAGCTGAAATTCAAAATCTTAAAATGTAGAGCAGAATCTCTTAATTTAAATACATAAAAAAGGCCTACACCTGCCCCCAAATTGAGCTAATTATTAAACTGAATTTCATTGTACCTATAGAAAACGAAACTCTTGAACTAGGAACCAAAAAATACACCCCCAATGCCAACATTTCCCTACACAGAATCTTATGCTATTGCTGATTAAGGAAAATATTAACCATTTAATATTTTAAAAACTGTGATTGCATTAGAGGGTTTTTTCCATTTATTTTAGAAAGATATAAAAATACTGTAAAATAATGTAAATATTTTAGTATATAGTTAAGTAGAAATATTTTTTTTCTGTTTTTAGGTTCATTTTCTTCCCTAATTTTTATCTTGAAAATTTTTGTACTTAGAAAGTAACTTTGGTAAATAATAGCATGACAATCATATATTCCCCTTCTAAATTAAACTATTAACGTTTTGCCAATTGGCTTTCTTTCTCTTGCTCTATATCTATATATTCATGATTTTACTTTTATGCATCGTTCCTAAAATAAAATGTTCAAAACTCTGACATAAAATAATTCTAATTTGATTAACTTTATTTCATATAAATCTTTGCCAGTTCTAAGAATGGCTTCTGTTTTACCTCATTCCAATACAAATATACAATTATAATTTCTACCTCCTAGATATGACTAATGAAAAATAATCAAAATTTCTGGGTTTTAAAACTGAGAAAAGATCAACTAAAATCATCTTTATGTATACAAAAGAATAGTAACCTAAATGTTCATAACCTAAAATTCTTAGCAAGGGATACTGGACACGGATAAAGATGTTATTAAACTAAAATAAAAGAAAATTGTCAATATTAATAGTTTAAATAACCATTTAATCTGAACCAATGGTTTTTGAAATCATGTTATAGAGAGACTTAACATATAAAATGGATCAAACAGGTATTTTAGTAGTTACTCTGAATGAAGGGTTGGGGGTTACTACAAATCCTGCCATACTACTGTGTATTCTGTTCTGCAGGCACCTTCTCAATTCTGGTAGTATACTTTAAATATGACTATTTTAACACAATCACACAGTTTTGCAGTTTTCTAAAATCCTAGTATGCTGACTCTTCAAAATATAGTTAAGAACTTTTTTTAGAAATATCAATATTCTTTCAGAAATGAAGGCGGCTTTGGAAATAAAAGCAAACTTTGAAACTCTAATTCATGACAAAATAACTTAGCTTTACTATCTCACTAACCGTATACTTCACAAGTATTTTTTAATAGTTCTATAAAATCAGACAACATAAAATTTTTAAATATTTGCAAATTTTTCAGCACTCATTAAGACCATTGTATGACCAAAGAAACTATAATAAAATACATAGAATACATTGTAATATTAAAATTGCAAGAAAATCAGATGCTATCCTAAGTGTTAATTCAAATCATAATAATGGCCAAAAAACAGAGGAGAAATAGAAAACAGCCATTATGATCAAATAAGTAAAAATTATGACCTACAGGGTTACTTTGTACCTTTAGTTTGGTTTTCAAACTCTTCAGATAAGAGGTGGTAGCAACAACCCACACTGCAAACTCCCTTGATTTCAGACTTGGAAGTAAATATTCGCAGAGTATTTGGAGCAAGATCACCACAAGTGTGTAGACCCACCATCAAACAATCCTTTAAAGACAAGAAGAAAAAGTGAACTTTGACAATTAAAAGGTAGATTAAAAAACAACCCAGGTGAAGATTTTATTTTTTTTAATTTTTAAATTTAATTTTGTTGTTGTTGTTAGAATCAAGGTCTCACTATGTGTCCAGGCTGGAACGCAGTGGCTATTTGTAGGATCATATGTACTATACCCTCAAACTTCTGGACTCAAGCAATCATCCTACTTCAGCCTCTTGAGTAGCTAGGATACCATACCAGGCATCAGGAGAAGAATTTAAATGCCTATTAAAATATATAAAGCCTTTTATAATTATTAAACTCTACCTAGAAAGTATTATGTTTTTTTATTTTCATAATGAATATTTCCTTTATAGGAAAAATGTGCTCTCTTATCACTTTTGAGTTTTTTTCAGTATTTTCAGTTATTTATCCATTTGTATTTTCTTTGATTTCTTTTACAACTAATATTTGCTTAACAACTAGGCAAAGTAAAGATTAGACTAATCAAATGCAGCATGCATTACTAAGATAAACCTGTAATTTGAGACACATTTATATTACACTTTGACCATACTAGTCAATTTTTTTTGTTGATTTCACTTCTTCACAGATTGTCCATCAAATATCTTATAAAATTGTTATAAAAAATAAATATAATTGGTGTAAAGTTGGCATTTCTGACACCAGAAAGCTTAGCTTATTCACTGTATCAATTATATTAAAGAAAGATTCAATATGAAAATTTTCATTCTAAATTTTATAACATAAATATTATACAAAAATTCTCCTATGAAATGTTTATTCTAATTAACCAAAGACTAATTTAAATGTACACACTGCACACAAATAAACAATGGGTACAAATGCATATATGCACAGAGGGTATAAATTTCTCTCTTTAAGCTTAGTTTAGCTCTTCCTAAAGTTAACTCTAAGGACATTCAAATCTCATTCTTTATTGTATTCATCATATAGGATTACTTGATAATATTAGCACATACAAGCTAGGAGACAAAAATGTGTAATTATCATATTATCCTAACAGTAACATATTTAAGTATTGGGTAAGGGTAGAAACAGGAATAGGAGGTATTGGTTTATTCCGGTTATTAAAGTGCTGGTTCACTATAGGACACAAGAAACATTTTTCCATCTTTATCTTATTTTAGATGGTAATGAATTTGCATATAGTTTTGATTATATACTTTCAATGGAAGTTTGAGAAAATTAAAAAATAACAATATACACTAAGGTTTTATATTTTTAAAAGTTAAGTTAAAGTAATTGGATTTAACCCTAAAAAAAGTTCAGAATAATCTAATTACTGATTTCATATATAAGAAAAACAATTAATAAGGACTAACCAGTTTTCCTAAATCTAAAAATATCTGGAAAAAAATTCCCATTTTATTAATTTTTTTTTTTCACACTTCCCACTTCATGGAAAAAAATTCCCATTTTAAAAATGGCAAAACACTATTCAAACAATGTTAAATTTACAAAGAACTATGGTATCTTTTGTTTATTCAGTTCTTTGGGGAAGAACTTCTTAAAAAATATAGGAAGGGTAGAATAACACAACTCCAAAAGCTATCTTTTTCTGAGACAATGAATTTGGCCAAGTGTTCTCTAGAAGCTCCTTTACAATACTGCTTTAACATACAATGTAGACTTTAAGATTTACTGTCCTTTACTACATAAATTGACATACTTAAAATTTTTAAAAAGTTCAAGCCGTGAAGAATACTTTGAAGCTACTCTTGATAATTGCAAATTTGGTTACCAAATCTAATTGTAGACACAACTTTGCTCTAGATACCTCTTTACTTTAAATTTAAATTAAAAAGTTTTCTTGGTAAGCACTACAATTAACCTAATTAAAAGTTTACCACCTCAGGCACAAATTTCCAAGTTTTCTCAAGGCACTCACTTAAAGTTTCTGTAACCAACACATTGGTCACTACCATAGGTCCAAATTGATGATGGAGATGAGTAGAGAAAAAAATTTGCTTTGGTACAAAAGATGCTTTTTAAACTAATAAAATTCAATACCTCCTTTGTTAGATCATTTAAAATTGTATTTAGCAGGTTAAAACAAGGCAATCATTTGTTCAAAAATACTAATTGTAGTGCTTACCAATCAGTAATTCCACTATCACTCAGGGCTTTCGTACCTTCTAGGTAAAACTTCTTTCATTGTGTTTTTTTAAGATACTGTATTTTTTTTTAAGTGCCATCATTTAAATTTCACTTAGTAAGTGGCAGATTACATTATTCAGTCCCACAAGCACAGAAATATAGTAACACTAGGAGATATTTGAACATTTATTTTACAATGACTGAATATATTATGTAAATGAGGTAAGCAACTTTTGTAGAGATTGTATGTGTGAGATAATGTAATGTTCTTTTCCAGTTTTTGGACTACAGTTGAATAAACTTTTTAATTATTTAAAAACATCTTTACCGAATAACATGTGATGGTTTTTTGTATAATGTATTTGATTTTGTAAATACGTATTTCCTGATGTGATTTTTGTGAGAAATGCTAAATCTTTTAGTATATCATGTCCTCTCAAAATTGGCAGGAGCTAAATAATAGTTTGTGGGCGATTTGTATTGTGTACTGTACAATAACTGGGGAACTTTTATAATTATAAAAATATATATTAACTTTTAGTGTGTTGTTTAAACAAATGACTGGAACATACTAAAGATATTAGTAGGATTTTTCTGAATATTTCAGACTTGAACTCAGGCTAGCTTTCTTGTGTTTTTCAAAACAAAATGGTGTCTTGTCTTTTAAAATCAATAAATTTGTTTCCTTGTTACAAAAAAAAAAAAAAAGTTTTCTTGGATTGGAATTAATTGTAATTAATTTAATTTAATTCCTAAATTGCAAAATGAGAACTTAGCTCACTATAGCTTGTCTGCTAGTACTTCTGTTTGATTTAGGAGGCTCAAAATGAATAGAGATTATTCTGGAATGTGCTCTTGTCAGATTTTAATAGCTGTAGGAGTAATGAAAAGCATGCTTATGATTTTATTTTCTTGGTCTTTAAATTAATGTGATCAAATAAGATACACATCTTATTTAAGCTATGATTAAAATTAAATTCAATGTCTTAGAGCATTTTTATAAATCAAATTAAGTAATTCAAAAGTAAAATCACCTCTAGATCTTTAATAATGTCATGTAGTTCTGAATCAGCAGTGATAAAAGAGGTTAAAGGTGAATATATATTTGATTCACTTGACTTTGATGTCATTTTTCTTCTCTCTTTATGGGTTTCAGACATCTCCCTGTTGGGTATTTGCAATGAAGAAGTAGACTCAACAGCATTAATAGAGAAAAGGTCTATAAGAGAAAAGGTGTTTTCAAAACACAAATTTTCTTCTTGATGTGGTTGAGAATATAGGTTTTCCATTTGTTTTCTGTTGGTGGAAATTACAGAGCCTGAAAAATCTGGCAAAAACTCTGAGGTAGACATCTTTTCTTGCTTTGCAAGACTATTGTTACATTCTTCCTGGATCTTTGTTTTATATTTAATTTCATTTTGCACTTTCCTTTCTTTTTTCATTTTTAATGTCAGTCCATTGACATCTGATCTTGCCTGAGCATGACAGAGTTTCCAATGTTTCTTCAGTTTTCTGTTTCTTTCCTTAGCTCCATGAGTATTGGTATTTGAGGAATCAATTCCATAAACTTTTAATCCATACTTCAAGGATAAAAAGGAGCTTAAGTAGCCTTTACCGGAACCCAAGTCAATTACCTAAAGTAAGAAAAACAGAATGAACTAAATGATTTTAATCAGATGATAACAGAAAGCATTCTAGATTTATTTTAAAAGCAAGGAAACAAATGAGCTGTATAATTTACACAACCTATTATGTTTTAATTTTAATTTTTTGATTCTTATTAAAAACCAACCACTCTGATCATTTTTATTCAACATTTGTCTAGAGGTTCTAGACAACATAATAAGTCAAGGAAAAGAAGTAAAAGACATAAACAACATAAGGAAAGAAGTGTCTTTATTCATAGATGACATGATTGTGTCTCCAGAAAAACCTGAAGAATGTACAAAAAAGCTAACAGTAAGTGAATTTAGCAATGTGTCAGGGTACAATGTCAATGTAAATTAACAATGAACCATCAACATATACAATATAGTAGCAAAGAACAATTAGCAAAGAACAACTTGCTTTAGCAGTCAGAGAAAACCCAAAGGGAAGAAATGTAGATAGCACATTATAAAATATCTTGATTGTGGAGGTTACATAAGCATACACACACACACACACACACACACACACACTAACACAACTCCAACTGTTCAATTAACATGAGTTCATTTATAGCTCAATAAAGTTGGGATTATGGAATAATTTTATATATTGGCTAGAAATAGGTTAGGATTCAATAATAATATTTGATAACTAAATGTATTTTACACAGTAATATTTATAATGAAAAATCTGTAAAATTAAGGCCACAGGAATACTACCTGAAATCCCTTTCACAAAGCATACATTTATTCTTTGTGCCACTTCTATATTTCCCTGCTTCTGCATTGTTTTCCCAAACTAAATGAATGGGTTTTGGTCTTAGATTCTATATAAAATTTGAGTCCAGTTCTTATGGTCTCTGTCACTCTGCCTCATTCAGACCAGACTTCCTTTAAGAACTGGATCTTTATCACATTCTTCCACTCTGTGACTGGATTAATACCATCCATGCACAGAACCTCTACTCAACTTAGTTGACTACCTATTATCTGAATTTTCTCTCCTCAGGGCTCTGTTCCTCCAGTGGAATTGCTGTTATTAATTTGATGCCTAAACTGATTGAGTTTGTTACACCTCTTTTACCTCTAAATAAACGATGCATTCCTCTGGAATCTATTCCCATCATTATTACTCTTAATGGATATTGGCAGGCACCTGACAAATATTCAGAAACAGTACTTGCCCCTAAGATTCTGATATGGCACCATGGGGGAAGGTCTGGGTGGGGGTAGAGGTGGGGTACTTGCCCCTTCTACTCCAGCTGAGTATCACTGCAATTGTGAGCCTGTTACTGATACTGATAGATACTGCTTAAGTATGATACTCTGGAGAAAAGATTGAAAACTAGTATTATCTTCTCTCTTGTCTCTAGCCCCTACCCTAGAGATCTGCAAGTTATCAGTTTTCTAATCATCCTCAAACTCTCCACAACTCTGGGTGAATCTACTAAAAAGATTCTAATAACTAAAAAAAAATTACAAAAGGGAAAATTTCCCATTATCCCCACAGATCTTGTAGGGAGAAGAAAAATAACTTGCTATTTTTATAAGCCAGAGATAAGAAAAATAACTTACTATTTTTATAAGCCAATGTGGACAATCATTAATTTTATTTTCAGATATCACTACCTTTCATAAAAGCTATTTTTCATAATAGGAATGTATCATGAGTCATATACTTTGAAAGAATCCAAGCCCTAAAAACATAATTACTTTGGGTTACTATAGTGAGGCAGGTGACCCAGAACACAGCTTTGGAACCAATATACTGAAAACATCTAGCAACCAACAGTTTTGCAAAGTGTCATCTTTATAATGCTGCCTCAACTTGGAATGACAACATATCAAAGAGAATTACCCTTAACTTCCATCCACTCCAAAAAGAGTAATTTGTGGCAAAACATTAACAGTCATGTCTTTTGATTATAAATTTGTTATAATTATAGTGTACTGGGAAATGAAAATATATGTTTAAAAAATCTGACATTTAAAGGATCTGATGTTTAAAGGATCTGATGTTATTATTTAACAACATTTTAAAGACTAGATAATGATAGGAAAAAATGGAATTTGCAAGATACCAAAAAATAGCCATTTTTTTTTTTGAGACAGAGTCTCACTTTGTTGCCCAGGCTACAGTGAGTGCTGTGGCGTCAGCCCAGCTCACAGCAACCTCAAACTCCTAGGCTCAAGCAATCCTACTGCCTCAGCCTCCCAAGTAGCTGGGACTACAGGCATGTGCCACCATGCCTGGCTAATTTTTTCTATATATATTAGTTGGCCAATTAATTTCTTTCTATTTATAGTAGAGATGGGGGTCTCGCTCTTGCTCAGGCTGGTTTCGAACTCCTGACCTTGAGCAATTCGCCCCCCCTTGGCCTCCCAGAGTGCTAGGATTACAGGCGTGAGCCACCGCACCCAGCGAATGGCAATAGTTTTAACACCTAAAAATATAGGGAAAATATTCTTACTTGCTTTATTCCATAGTAAGCAGCAATGCTGCTGATCAGCTCTGACATTGCCTGAACTTCATGAGATTTTTTCACATTCATAAACTCAATTGGCTTCACAGTTTCACCTGAATAAAAATAAAAATTAAAATACTGCCATAAATGAAGCAAAATTTAATATAAAGTATCAGTTGATGTCCATGTTTTTTTAAATTAAGCATGAAAATAATATAGAGATTCTATTGTGTCTGGATGATACATCTCTATTATCTTAACTGTTAACCATCAAATTTGAACTAATAGAATGAAAAGATTCATAGAACATTATAATTAAAAAATTTTCCTTAGCACAGTAAGCAATTAACTATAAAGGAAAAGACTAATAAACTGGACTACAAAAGAATTTTTTTTCATCAAAGACAACGTTAAGAGAGCAAAAAGGCAAGCCACACATTGGGGGAAGGTATTTCCAATACACATATCTATATAAAACTTATATTTAAGAATTAAAAAAAAAACAAATTCCTACAAATCAATAAGAAAAAGGCCACCCAACAGAAAAATGAGCAAAAAAACTTGAAGAGTCATTTCACTACCTGTGCTGTCTAATACAGTAGTTACTAACCAAATTATTTAAATTTACATTTAAAAAAGCTTAAATCAAATCAAATTTGTACCATCATTACTCTTTGACACTCATGTTTCTCCCCCACAAGCCCAACTACCCTTCTACTCTTCCTACCTTCCTCCCAAAGCACAGGCCATGGAGAACACTAGCATACTATAACAAAAATAAACGTAAGGATTTTGTAATTTATAGTAGCCTACTGTGTTTGAAGGGCAGGAACTATCTTAAGTACAGGTTGCCAGGAGTTAATGTAGGAAAAAATGTAGAGATCTCTCAGTCACTGTTTAATGTAGTATAAGAGAAAAATCTACTTTTCTAGGCATAAGCTATTTGTCAGCCCATATTATATAAGGTCTAACAATAAATTAAGGATATTTTGGAAAGATATTCATATATGAACAATATATTGCTTCTAAGCATCTACATACATACACACACACAAATACACATACCAGTTCTCTGTTTTTGGTTTCCTAGAAGGGCTGCAAGCAGCTGCTCAAAAGGAGTACATATTTCCAAGTTTTGTATGGAATAATATTTTGCAACCCAAGCAAATGCTTCCACATTCACCAGCTTCTGAGAAGTTTCACAAAATATTTTGGGAAAATCAGTCGTACCTAAAAGAAGTCAGGTTAAAAAAGAGTCTTTAGTCATAATTAAATAACTAATAGTTAATTTGTATGATATTAAAAAGCAATAAATGAACAGCACTGAATTTTAAATATTTTCATTTTGGTATGAAATTTGGCAATATCTCTAATGGTTCCATTAATATTTACTATTTAAATAATTAGCTATTTGTAGCAGCAAATTTTCTCTCAATATTTTATACAATTATATATTTAAACTCCAAATTAAAATTAAAATTAGGCCTTTTTTTTTGGTTCCAATAACCAAAAAAAAAAACAAAAAAAAGAAAGAAAGAAAAAAGAAAGATTAAAATCTGAACAGTAATAAAGTTTTAAATTGTGAACAGTACTGGGTGACCCACAACTGTGCATTTAAAGGTGATCAGCCCATGCAACACTGTAATTCCCTGTCCACACTGCATGTGGAACAACAGTAATATCTCTAGTGGCATAAAAGTTACTATAAAGCTGTTCCTGTATCATTTGGACCATAAGACTTGGCAGAGGGTGGGATGTTGTGTGTGGTATGTGCATGCACTCAATGAACTATCAATATCAGTGCTAAAACTAATCAGGTTATGATCTAGTGAAAACAGCTCATGTTCTTACCATGTTCAGTTTTAGACCAGACATTCTATAAGTTTAGTATAGTAACTGTCAATATGCCAAATGCTCATGAATTTAAAATAGTGTAATTGGCCGGGCTCAGTGGCTCACGCCTGTAATCCCAGCACTCTGGGAGGCAGAGTGGGGCGGATTGCTCAAGGTCAGGAGTTCGAAACCAGCCTGAGCAAGAGCGAGACCCCATCTCTACTATAAACAGAAATAAATTAATTGGCTTACTAATATATATAGAAAAAATTAGCCGGGCATGGTGGCACATGCCTGTGGTCCCAGCTACTCGGGAGGCTGAGGCAGTAGGATTGCTTGAGCCTAGGAGTTTGAGGTTGCTGTGAGCTAGGCTGACGCCACGGCACTCACTGTAGCCTGGGCAACAAAGTGAGACTCTGTCTCAAATAAATAAATAAATAAATAAAATAGTAAACTGTGAATATCCAGTGCCCTTCACTGTAAGAGGATCACACACAGTGTTGAACTCAGGTGTGGCTACATCTTGCCAAGGTGAACTGTACCATTTTCAGGCAAAAGTTTTAAGAGTATCAGAAGATTCACTATTCTTTTTTTCTCCAGCTCTGTAATTGAAGAATCATGTGTCAAGATAGAACTTTCTTCAGCCTGAGTCCCTGAGTGACTGCAACAAGGATAGCATTGCTCTCAAACTACAATGGACATACAGCATATATAACAGCAAACTTCACTGCTTTCAGTTAGTTGAGTTGTTAGGCTTATTACTGCAGCGTAACCCTGCCTATTCTGATGGATACACATAGCCACACTATAGATTTGCTCAATCTTATTTTTCTATTGCCATTTTTAAGGTATGCTAATTTATTTAGGAGGGTTAAAAGAAGGCATTCCAATTTGACTGCAGTGGTTCAAAGAAACTCTTTGGACAGTTAAGTCCATTCACTAAAAATTATTAATATTTTTAATAATTCAAACAAACACATCCAGTGGTTAAATGAAGCATGTAAAACATTCAACTACAAAAGCACAGTGCAATCCAGGGACCAATTTTGATTCTACCAAAAAAAAACAAAAAACAAACAAAAAACCCCCATACTATATGGTATGAAGTCTTCTCTTGCATAGCTGCTCCTCCATAGTTACTTTTGCTATAAAAATATACTTAAACAAAAGAATAATGATACTACTTGACAAAACTTGAAAGCTAGACAACTAATGAAGGTGTGCAGAATTCTAAAACAAAAAAAAATACACATTTAAACTAATATATTTTTAAAGCTAATATCTATTAAGTTAGGGGTATGTTTACCAAATTCATTATTAAGAATAAAATTGTAAGAGATGTGCAACTTCCACTTCTGAATCAACTAAATAGAAATTTAAATTACAAAATTGCTAGAGTGAATTTATTTAAGATACATTTTGTGTATTATATGAAGTTCTGTGGACATTTTACAAACTGAATTTACTAACCCAGCCAAAGTAATAAAATCTGCTCAGAATATTTAGGCATGTTACAAAAGGGAAAACTCAGTCAACTATTAAGTGAGACTCTCAGGTTTAAGGGCAGTCTCAACATCCCCAGGTTCCAAGGCAGCAATTTTTTAGAGTGTGATAGAATAAGAGTACTAAATCTCAAAGTGCAGAGGGACCATCATAATAGCCAGTTATTGGACAATGTTGCCAACAGAAAGAAATGTGATGTTTCTGTTGGAAAAGTAAGATTCAAATCAACTTAACTATCCTACTGAAAATACTTGAAAAAATTCCAATCCAACTTGAATTAAATGCTGTTAATTTGTTTTCAATCATAGGCCTTCTAGTAACTTCATTAATTTGAAGGTCTAAATTGCAATGTTATCATTTCAACAATGATTACTTTTTTTAAAAGAATGGTGTTCTGATTCAGTCCAATAGTTTATGTTATTTAGGGCTAACACTAGTTCACCACAGTCTAGAACTCTGAAAAAAAGTTTTGATTCACAGAAATATAGCTGCTATACTGTTTTTGAGTGACCAAGACTACAACTTGCATTACTTGCTTTTTTAGAGATTGGGAGAGTGAGGGAGGGAGGGAGAGAGAGAGAGAGAAAGAAATGTGTTGATGATCTAGTTTTACTTCAATTTCTGAAACAATATGTGAGAAAATTAGGGGGCAATGATAATGGTGTTAATAGTCCTCATAGTGCTTGTCTAGGTAGTTGTATAATCAGTTTGGATTTGGCAACTAGCAAAATAGAAACCATGCTACTTAACTTTTATTTAATTATTAAAATTTTTAACATAGGGAAAGTTTTCTTTTCAGAATTGCTGTCTACACCTGCATATTGTGTGACTTGATTATTTGGCTCATATCTCCCTCTACTGGAAGTTCCAATTCTGCTTTCTTATATGCTTTACTTGTAGTCATTACTTACAGTCTTACTTTTTTATGCACCCCATAGCACTATTCCACAGAGGTTTCTTATGAGATAGATTATAAGACAGCTCCTTATACAACAGGTTAATTGGACATCAGGGAGGAAGGGGAAGAAAAAGGCAAGGGAGGTTATTTTCTATAAATGTGAGACCAGGATATCTTTAAGCTCATTTTATTTGTTTGTTGTTTGAATGTGCAAGAAAAGATAGAAAAGTTATATATATATATATATATATATATATACATACACACGTTAGATTATGAAAATATTAAGGTAGAAAAATGCATAATAAAATTTCAAAAATAAAAACAATGAGTATATATTTACAATTAATAAATAAAAATAAAATTTCAAAAATAATTGTTATCATACTTGAATGTTACACAGAACTTTCAGGAAGAGAGTACTGTCAGGGTTTACAATAACTCATCTCTATTACTGCTAACACACTTTACCTTTCCTATGATAGTTTTATAAGCTAGTTACACAGTGCTCTTATCCCCATTTACAGAGGAAAAACTGAGACTTAGGGAATCTGTAATGTATCCAAGTTTGCACAAACACTAGGTAGCAGGGCAGGTGAACCAAGGCAGTTTAACTTCATAACTAGCTCTTAATTCCCACATTCCATTATCATGTCACAGTAGTAAGAACAGTGGACAATAAAGAAAATCAGGCAAAACAGCAATAAAGAAAAGCAGTAGGCAGATTTGACCATCAAAACCAAGTCCAGCAAGAATTTCCTCTAGCAGAGGTCACTACATGGTAGCATCTTAAGGCATTTCACATTCACTTTATTTTTTTAATTCTTCTACTTTCTTCACTCCCCTCAACACCTCCCTTTCCATCAGAAGTAATCTTAAAAGGTTTCAAGAAATTAAAAAGTAATATATAAAATAATGAATAAGTCTTTGGAAAGGAAACAAAATATTTCTACAAGATTTTATTGTGGTCAATATCTAGAAACAAAATAACCCTATTGCTTCATGCCAAGCTGTAAAGCAATAATACATTGCACACAGCATGAATGAAGGACAACAATCTTTCAATACACTTACTACTGTAGCATCATCAACTACATACACAGGGAGAAACAAAATCTCCTAAAACTCTGTGAAGGTAGTAATCACTATGACTTCAGTAGGATTGCTGAACCTGTTAGACATAAAACCTCATCTCAACTCAAATGTTTGTAATCTCAGGATGAAACAAGAGTGATTTAGATGTAACCAAAATGTTTTTACACTCATAATATCCTGAAATAAATAAATAAATAAAGGAAAAAGAAAAAGAAAAAAGAAAAGAGTGATTTAGAATGAGATATAAGATAAAAATGTAATTATGTGCTAAATTTTGAGATTTAACTGTGTTACAGGGGTTAGGGGAAAGGTCACTACTGTAATTATCACAGTCTTAGATCCGTTCCATGGTCCAGTAATTCAAGAATAAATCAACAGTGCCCTCTTAATAATAATCTTCACAAAGACAGAAATATTTTGTATTCATTGCTACATGAATGTCCCACAGATGTCTTCAATTCAAAAGGTTCAAAATTGAACTTAAAGAAACCTTTCCCTTTTCTATTTTCTATCATGTTTAATAGCCTATCACTCACCCAGTGCACTTTACATTATCTTAAGTGCTTCTTGTGCCCTCAATCCACATGCCCAGCCTTACCCATCAATCCTGATGTAAAAGTGTCTCTCCTTTGGAACCTCCTTCCCCTATCACTGCTGTAATTCAAACCCTATTAATGCTCATCAATGATACTGCGATAGCATCACAGTTAATTTTTTTCCTTATCGATAAAACTCCCACAGCACTATCCTCAATAAGTATTGGTTGAATTGAATTTGTTTTCTAAAATGGAAATTTACTTTTATTCAATACAAATTTAGTCAAACATTTTAAGGCTTTGGCTGTAACAACAATTAACTTTTGGCTTCCCTCTTTGATAATTGTTTAATACAGCTTAACCAAAAGTTAGTCGGTCTTACTGAACTTTGAAAATTAAAGGTGAGATAAGTTTTATTAATGTTTGAGTCTATACATAATTTTATAATGTACCAAGGAAAGAAAAAAGAAAATATACTCTTAAAAGAAATTTATATCATCCAATTAGCTACTAGAAAAGTTTTTGCTTAAGCTATTCTAGCTTAATCTACAGTTGCACATTAAATGAAAAAAAATGCTATTTAAATATGCAAACCATGCTCTTGAAAAAAATAAGATACAATTAACAAGAAATTGACATGCATGTCCTTACTGTACCAATATTAACATCACATTGAATGTATAAAGCACATTTAACCATTCCAAAAGCATGTTCACATTTAACTATGTTATTTATAAAAATGAAATTAAATGTAAAAATAGAAAAATTTAACCACAGTATTTTAACTCTAACAGATCCCTTTCATAGTTTAATCTGAGGGAAAACAAAAATATACAAAGAAACAAATTTAGAAATTGATTTGTTAAATAAAAAATAAACTTGATAAAAATAAACAATTCAGGAGTGCTTACTATTCATAAGATAAAATTGAACCTGAATAAAGCTGATCTGTTACCACTTATGACTCATCTATGAGACACAGTGCTTTATTTATCATGTACGCTCCAGGTCTCCGGACTTGCCTCCCCGCCCCGCCTCGGGTGGCCCCGCCGCTCCCTCGGTTCCGGCGCGCCTCCACCAGGGGGCACGCTTCTCAGGCCCGGACCTGCTCCTCGGCCTCGCCCCGCCCGCTTGCCCGCCATTCACCTGATCCCTTCTCTGCTTCCACTAGGGGGCGCGACTCGGAAGGCCGGGCTTCTGCCTCCGCCACCGACCTCCTCAGCGCTGTCAGCACGGTCTCCGGGGGCAAGTCGACCAGCTCCTCCCACACGGACTCTGTGTAGAAGTTTACCGTATGTGCATTGGAAATGGACAAGGCGTCCCTCAAGAACCGCAGTAGTCCCTGCAACTTGGCACGCAGCGTGGGCAGTTCCGGGGTCACGGGGAGAGGGCCAGGAGCAGCCATGACGCTCATCCTCCGGGGCTGTAGGTGGCGCAAACATGGCTGTGCGGCAACAGCGCGACCCAAAGTAGCACAGGCCAGATAAGTAGAGGTCCGAGTTGAGGCGATCGATTGCTTGAGTTTGATGACGTATTTTGGGAGCGTCTGTTGTGATTTTTCTGGCGACGGAATTGGTCTGCGGAAATGGCGCCGGTGAGGCTGGCACAGTGGCAGCGGAACGGGGGTTTGGGGACACGTGGCGAAGGGGGTTCTTCGGTCGCATTCAGGAATAAGAATGTGAAACAGAGGATATGGCGGCCTAACTATTCTCAAGCCTTCGTGGGGAGCGTACGCGAAGGTATGTAAAAAAGCAGCCATTTACAGGTCCAAGCTTGCCAATTCCCAGTGTACGTGTTCCGCCGGAGCTCCGAAGAAGGGTTTCGGAAACAGACTGGGTCCTACTTGGGGTAGAAGAAACCAATCCTAAGTTCACTGATGCTGTGGGTTTCGCAGAGCTCTAGATGAAGACAGGGCAGCGTTCCCTGCCTTAGCCCCATTATTTCATCAGAACTCTTTTTCTCTGTATTTTTCCTGTGACACTGTAAGCAGAGAGTGTCTACTGGTCCTCTGAATGTATTATTATCTGTATCTGCGCCTGTACTACGGTAAAGGATAGAGAGGACAATGTCAGAAACACACTGCCCCAAAGCTTTGCTGATTACAAATACTCGTTCTTCCTCGTCTTCGTTCCAGTTTATGTTTTTCTTTTTGTCTGTAAAGTTCCTCAGATCGCATATGGAATGTATAATATAAATGTTGAATAAGTTCAGCCTTGTGATAATTGCTGTTCAAGAAGTCATACACCATCTTCTTTTACGCTGAAGTATTTTCGAAAAATCAATTGTATATATAAGTTTCTCCAACATAAAATAATGTGTTTTTCTATCTTTAAATTTTTTTGAAGAACCTGATTAAGCGTTTTTAGATGAATGAAGGAATTTGTTTTGATTTGTGGGTACAGTTGTAAACCTCAGGTTGTGCAACACTCAACTAGTCAGTTTTTCTTTAAGATTCTTATTTGCATGATTGTTCTTTGAGATGATCTGCACGACTAATGTTAGCCTGGTAGTTTTGCAAAGGGTCGACTTGCTTTTCAATCTATCAACTCAAATTTGTTGCTTGGAATAATCTTTTAAAGCAAAACATAAAAAAATCCCAGCGTTGGAAATGCTGTAAAATGATGTAAAAAGATTTTGTACATGATGATGTAAAAAGATTTTCATTCCTAATTAACGACTTCATTTTTCACTCAACTTATTTTCTGTGAAAGTAATTTTGACTTAATATTCCTCAATGTAGGACAAGGCTTTGCATTTCGGAGGAAACTGAAGATTCAGCAAAATTACAAGAAATTGCTATGGAGGAAAAAGAAGGTTCAAATATCTCAGGAATCCCAATTCAAAGATCGATACCCAGATCATCTGAAACATCTATACTTAGCTGAAGAGGAAAGACTCAGGAAGCAACAAAGAAAAGTTGACCAGCGTTTGTCAGAAGAGCAAGTTGACCAAACTTTGCCTGACGAACAGCATAGCATTGACCAGTGTTTGTCTGAAGACCGGTATAGCTTTGACCAGCCTCAGCCAGAAAAACAATGTAGCAAGACAGTAAAGTATGTATTTTCTTCTTTTGAAATTCTTTATTTTATGAAAGGCATTATAGGACAATTTATTTAGGAATTGGAATTTTTCTCATTTAATGTATTTTATAAGTCAGTGTAATTAGGTGAACATATTTTCATCGAGACTTTATTTTTAGCTTCAATAACCAATGTAGGCTAGTTTAGCTTAATTGAAAAAGTAATGGAATAGGAATTAAGAGATATGGGACTTGGATTTCTGCTTCTCAAGTACATGTAATTTGCATGGACCATGGCTAACTACTTTTACTATATTTTTTTTTTAAATAATTTTTGAGAAGTTTATAAGTCTGGCCATTAATAGCTTGAGTTCTAGAGCCAGACATGACGTGTTGCTGCCCCAGCACCCTTTTCTCTAATGGGAACAATAATACTGTAATAAGTGTGTACTTCAGAGCCACCATGTTGCACAAGAACAGAATGGATCATTCCCATAAACTGTGGTGTTCCCTAAGTGTTTTATGACATTGTTGTAAAGACTAAGTGAATTAAATATGAGACACTTAAGAAGGTGTAAGATACTTCATTAGTGCTTATGAGTGGTAGCTGCTGCTGCTACTCTTATTATTAATCTGGATTTTCTGCAGAAGACTGGAAATGGGTTGTAATTAAAAAACAAATGGACTTTGGGAGGCCCTGAGGCAGGAGGATTGCTTCAGGCCAGGAGTTTGAAGGAAACTTGAGCAAGGGTGAGACCCCTTCTCTACAAAAAGTAGAAAAATTTGCCAGAAGTGGTGGCACGTGCCGGCTACTCAGGAGGCTGAGCTACTGAGTAGTCCCAGCTACTCAGGAGGCTGAGGCAGAAGGTTCTCTTGAGCCCAGGAAATTGAGGTTGCAGTGAGCTGTGATCAAACCACTGCACTCCAGACTGGGTGACAGATCGAGACCCTGTCTCCAAAAAGAAAAGGGGGTGGGTGGCGCATAGCTCCATAACACTTTGGTTTTTTAAGAGCTATCTTATAAAACTGTTACTGCACATACTTCAAGTAAAAAACATGCTAAGATCTAAACTGAAAAGAAGCCAGGTGTTACTTGGGACTTTAATTTTTTATTTCACTAAAATTTTATCTTTTAAAGTAGTGAGCTAGTAAAAGGACCCCAGGGAAAACATAGTTGAAAATAAAGGCAGAGACACTAAAAGTTCAGTGTTTTCAGTAGGCTTGTGCATGATATTATTAAATAATGAGTGTAATGCACAGGGAAAAGTTGAGCACTAGCAATGTAGATTTGAGTCATTCCCAGTGATGATTGAAGTGAAGGAGGATTAAATCGTGAGACAAGAGAAGGTAAAAAATCATTTTTAAATATTGCTTTTTATTTTGAGGTGAAAACAGGAAAAATTTATCATTGGAGAAATTAAGGAAACGTCTCAAAACTAGATAAAGAGGGAAATACAGTTGACAACTAAGTCCACAGAGGAAAGTTGTGAGAAGAAGGGTAGTTGATAATCAAATACAATGGTCCCTCATTATTCACAGGGGATATGTTCCAAGTACCCCCAGTATGCCTGAAACCTTGAATAGTACCAGATTCAATTGTCATCAGTTGGAACACATTTATGTTGATGTCTTCTAACCACAAATTTAATGCTTTTTCCATATTAAATCATGCACCATGGCCATAACTTTTGCAGTTTGAAGTATGATAGCAAAACTCACATAATTTTATGGATGGAAGAATTGTTCTTACTGTAAATCTTGGCAATCTCAGCATACAAATTTTTTCTTAAGTAGAGAGCTTTTATCTTTTCACTTAAAACATTTTATGGCATCTTTTTGTCTTAACTGAATTATCAGCATCATTACTCTTGTGCTTTGGGGCCATTATTAAGTAAAATAAGGGTTACTTGAACATCGCAGTGCAATACTGTGACAGCCAATGCGGCGACTACTAAGTGACTAACGGGAGGTAGCATATACAGATTGGATGTGCTGGACAAAGATGATTAACATCCCAGGTGGGACAGCACAAGATTTCATCATGTTACCCAGGGTGGTACATGATTTAAAACTCATGAATTATTTGGTTCTGGAATTTTTCTATTTAGTATTTTTCAAACTATACCTGACTGCAGGTAACTAAAACCATGGAAAGTGAAACTATGGATAAGGGGAACACTATTGTACTATAGAGTTCAAGGAAAACAACTGAGAACGAGTCTTTGGATTTGTGGACTAGGCAATCACTGGTGACTTTGGAGAAAAAAATTTCAGTAGAAACCCTGATTAAGCTTTCAGCCATACATAAATGTGGCATTTGAAGCCCTGGTCATGAATCTGTCTGCCCAAAGACAGAGAGTATGGAGACTAAGAAGGGAAGCACCTGTACCTTAGGGGAAAAACTTGGAATGAGGAAGACAGAGGCTCTAGCATGACAGACTAAGAAGGAGCAATCAGAAAGGATCAGGAGAGAAGAATATCACCCAACCTAAGGGAGTGAAATTTTCAAAAATAGTGAGTAGACAGTTAAAAGATACTGAAAAGTCTCCACTGATCATGATATTTGACTACAAGGTCATCACTGTGTTGACATGGACACCTTGATTGGAGTGATGAGAACAGACATCAGACACAAAAAAAGTTACTAAGGAGTGCATGAGAAGTGACAATTAATTCACTGTTCTTTCTAGAAACTTGACTGAGAGGTTGGGGAACAAGATTTGTAGTTAGAGGGGACATATAATCTAAAAATGGGTAATTTATGCATTTGTTTACTTTGAGAAAGGAGCTACTAAAATATATTATGGTTATGGAATGAATATAATGAAAAGAGAAAAGGTTATTATTGAATCAGGTATCCTGAGGAAATAGATGAAATCCTAAATGGTTGGATTAGCCTTGCCAAGAGGAACATCTTCAGAGATGTGAGAAGTACTTCAAGCTAGAACAGTTCTAAATGGGGACTAAGGTCCAAGGTGTGGTGACTCACGACTACAGCAGATGAAATGGAATAGTGACAAGGTAGTCAAAGAACACTGAGATTAAAATTCATGAACGCTCATAATTTCTATAATAATTCTTCAGTTTAATCTTTCAATCTTTTATTTCTATCATTCATAGAGTGGTTTCTTTTTTGTTTTATTTTTTAACATTTTAGGACCTTTAAATCTTCCTGTCTATTCACTCATTGAAGTAATTCTCTGAGAATCTCCATTTATCACCTTTTAGTTAATCTATAATCTTAAAAGCTACAACTGTTTTTAGTATCTTATTTGGACATTTTATTATTATTTTCCCTCTTTTTTCTCCACCCCTCAGTTAATTTACTTTATGACGTCTTACTGTGTAAGTGCTATATTTAACATAATTGCACCATAATTTTGATTAAATCATTTTAATCCTTGTGACTTATTTGTCTTAATTTATTGTATAAAGGTCCTTTAACGTTCCAAAGCAAAATAAAAAGAAAACATCAAATCAAAAAGCACAAGAAGAATATGAAAAGGTACAAGCTAAGCGTGCTGCTAAGAAACAAGTAAGTTCTATTAATACTTTAAAAATATTTAGCTATATTTTTTCTTATTTCTCCTAAATGTATATGCCTACTCTGCTTCTTATTGTTGGTCACATAGTATTAGCTCTGTAAATATTTGTTGAATAAATGAATGGTCTGAACAGAGGGGGAGAATTGCATTATGTTCAAAATCCTTGATTTGTTCATTTTATCTCAGGCAATGCTAGTACCATGTTTCCCTGAAAATAAGACAGGGTCTTATATTTATTTTTCCTCAAGAAGACACCCTAGGGCTTATTTTCAGGGGATGTGTTATTTTTTTTTTAAGTATGGTACAACAATCTACATTTATTCAAATATAGTTAAGTCGTCTTCTGGAACATCATCATAACTCTCCAAACCCTGAATTCCATCCTGAATTTCTTGTGACTCTATTTCATTTAGAACAATTGGCCCCAATCTCTCATGTCGAGCAATAGAGCTCTCATTAAATGAGCAGCTCTTATCCGTGTAACCAGCTTGTCATCTTTATCGCTCCAAGACAAAATGCATGGGTTGTGCAGATATGCTGCGTAGCCACGCTCATCATTAGGTCTTATTTTCGGGGTAGGGCTTATATTGTGCAAATGCTTAGAAATCCTGCTAGAGTTTATTCTATGGGTAGGTCTTATTTTTGGGGAAACACGGTAGGTAAAGAATAGGATTTTAAACATTGTGCTCATAGGTTAATAATATGAGCATCAGGGACAATATTCTTTAGAGTATGATCAAGGAACTTGTACTCTTAACACATGCCTCAAGAGATTGTTATGTATAATAAAATTTGGAAACCACTGACCTAAGAAAAATACAGATGATTTTCATGATCTTACACTAAGGCATGTAAAAGCCAGAGGAGAGGTGTTAAAAGAAAATTTTTACCATAGAGTTGGTCTTGTCTATTTAATAAAAAACCACTAGCTTAACTTAGCAAAATGTTGCCACTCTATTATCATTCAGAAGATCAGAATTATAGACTAGAATTAGACTTTTTCCAAATGAGTAGAACAAAAAAATTTCCTATCTATAGAACTAGGGCTTTGTGATCATTAAAATTAATAGTTTCTTAGAACGTACAAATTTGAAATGTTACTATAAAAGCCAACACCATTACGCATGAGAAATCAAAATTGTGAAGAGTAGTAGTTAAATAAGGACCTATAACTGATGCTAAGGATATTACATTTTTTTTTTTTTACTTTGTTTAGAGAAACTTCTTCGGGGTAAACTTGACTCCATATAGCTAAATTCACAGATTGTTATGCATTTTTTAAAATAAATAAGATACTGTGCCATTTGAGAATATAATTTTAAGTGATGCAGCATAGCATCATGGAAAATTGAAGAGATTTCGAATTCAAAACATCTAGATAGATACGAGACTCAGCTGTACCAGTTACTCAGGATCTTGAGCAAGTCACTTTCAATAGCTCTGAGCATCAGCTCCTCATGTGTAAAATAAACATGATAACCTAGTGTAAAAAGTTTGAAAAGAATGGAACATGCTATAATTTCATATATGATGTATATGAAGTATGTACGAAAGCACTTTTTAAATTATAAGTTACCATGCTGTGTAAGGCTGTGTCATTTTGAGTCTATGTGTTACAAGAATTGAAAGACAGTACACGTATTACATTATTTAAGAACTTCTGTTTCACTTTTATACGTAATTTAGTAAGGATATTGTCGTACCTTTCAAGTAGCGCTTTTCAGGTCTATATTTAACTTTGAGTTATTTGTCCTTGTACTCAAACTTGAGTGTTTATCTTAGCAAATCAAATGAGCATGATAGTTGTTAAATGCTCAAAATCATAATGCCTGGCAGAATGCTTTGTCCATATATATATAGTAAATAGTTATCATGTGTTTTTTGAATTAAACCTATAAATTAGTCAGATGGAAAATTAAAAAGAATATCAGATATAGATTTCTAGAAATGATGGTTTTAGTGTTATGTGGAAAAATAGATAATCTCTAAAAGCCCTTCTGCCTCTGCAATGAATTTAATCAAATAACATCATTTTATATATATATATTTATTTTCTCTTTTGCAGTCTAGTTTTATTTGCACACAAGTGATTAAAACTTTAATAACTTTACATTATTCTCTGTTAGAACATGTATCATTATAGTGTGAAGGCAAAGAGGATACACTGTTTCAATTGTGGGAAAGAATTCACATTTTGCAAAATATAAGAGACAAATCTTAAGAGTATTTGCATGGTGATAGCTATTTCAAAACAATTTCTAAACTATATCTACTGTTTGTTACTAATGAAAGCTACATTTGTTAATATTTCAGGAATTTGAGAGGAGAAAACAAGAGAGAGAAGAAGCTCAAAGGCGCTACAAGAAGAAGAAAATGGAAGTGTTCAAAATATTGAGTAAAAAGACTAAAAAGGGCCAACCAAACTTGAATTTACAGATGGAATATCTTCTTCAAAAAATACAAGAAAAAAATTGAATCATATTTTTTTCCTCAGAGGTTAACATACCTGCTGCCCTTTGACTCCTTTCTTTTGTATGTGTAATAGGTACATCCTAACAATGAACTTGATTTGTCAACATAAACTATATTGCTGAACTCTACTAAATATAAAATGTCTAAATATTTTTGTTCTTATAAAAGAAACTTTTCTATATATACTCTACATAATATGACGTGTTTCTTATTTGTTTGCCTCTGAAGGAAGGTTGTCCTGAAGAACTTAAAGAACCTTCAATTGGGGAGACAGACTCAAGCATGTAGTACTTTTGTACCAAATGAAATTTGTATGAAATAAAATGTTTTCAAAATAAGGGAGCAGAGCTTCTAATGAAGTATTTCAGTGAAAAATTTCAATTTAATAATCAGCTATATGGTTTTGAAATTCATTTTAATGATAAAGGAGGCAAAGACTCCCCTTGGATTATCTATTTATTTATTTAAAATTAAATACATGTTACAGGCGGATAGACCTTTCAGATATTTGGGTGCTGAAATAACCTTCTGCCTTCACAGTATAACAGGGTGTTCTTTGTAAAGCAAGTTAGCTTATGAACTCAGAGAATCTGATATTTATAAACATTCCCTTAAATGGAAGTACATAGCTTGTTCGTGTAAGATGTTTTAAATGATGATGGAAACTCAGCAGTGTCACAGCCAGAATTAAGACTTTGAGATCCTGTGGGACCCTACACTGTAAGAACATTGTCACTGTGTCATCCCTGTTGATACTCTTGTGAGCTGAGGGAAACTACTGAAATAATTGTTTCTCCTGCCTTGCAATTAAGGCAAAAGTTCAATAGAAAGTGCTTAGGGAACACTGAACTTACTTTTTTTTTTTAGGAGATTGGTCTCACTCTCTTGCCCAGGCTGGCCTTTGACTCATAGTCTCAAATAATCCTGTCTCAGCTTCCTGAGTAGCTGGGGCTACAGGTATGTGCCACCATACCTAGCTTGAATGTATTCTTTATTGCATAGAAAAACAACACTTGGAATTTTGTAATACACTATATTGCATTTAAAATAAGCAGCCCAGAATGTCTAAATTTTGCTATATTGGCAAAGACAATACATCATGATGCACAGTAAATATTTCAATAAATTATTTCATAATGATTTTATATCTGTGCTTCTAGATGCTTTATCATGACATGCTTTATCATGCTTCTATCATGCGTTATCTTCTTAACATGGAAGGAGATCTAATCTTTTTGAGAAAGGAGTGAAAATTAGTTAAGTATATTTTAACTCTTATTAAGCAGCTACTATGTGAAAGATTCATGTTAAGGAGTTATTCTTTAAAAAAAAAATCAAGATTTTTACAGGGGAGTAAATGACAAATAATGACATAAGAGGGCAAAAAATAATTGGTGACAGTCATATATAAAACAAAAGGTCCAGACTTTAATGCAACAAAGAATCACCCAGGGAGCTTCTTAAAATGCACATATTAGCTCCCTGTTCCCATAGATTTGGATAATGTAGATGGGCTCAGTAATGGAAATTCTAACAGGCAACCCCAGTGATTCTGTTGTGGTTGGTCCTTATACTGCACTTTACAAAGCATCGGACTAGGGCCTCAGAGAAGAAAGAGATTTTGTAGAAGAAATCAGAGAAAGTTTCATGGGTAAAATAGCATGTAAGAAAAGCCTTCAAGGCTAAGATTAGAGGTGAAGATAGCATGAGGAAAATTACAAAGAGAAGGAAGTTTAGATATTTAAATATCTAAAAATTAGTTACAAAAACATGTATATTATCGTTATGTATGGGGGATAACTCATTTGTTTCCTTCCATATGGAGGGGGCACCATCAGCCTCATGGTCTTCTTAACTACCTGTGCCACTTATTCTGCCCAAGAGAAGTAGAGTGACATCCAAATGTTAAGTTTGAGAGGAAGACCTGGGTTTCCAGCAGAGTGCATGTACTCTTGCTTGCTGTTCTCACACTGTAAATTGTAAAGAACAGGCTTTTTTGATGAATGGTGGAAGGCGATGGACACAGCAGGGGAGAGGCCAGTGTTTTAGGGAATGTATCTAAAAATTTGTGCCGCATGTGTCAGTTCATCAAGAAATAAAACAGGAATAAAATTTGAGGGAGCACATTATGTAAGCGGAGAGGCTTTGGTGTGGCCAGAGCTTATGGTTTCAGGCTTCAGACTTTAATATATATACAGGGAGTTCAATCTCAGTAGTTTGTAGAGTCTTTTGTTAGGGCCTTTAATTTGATTTTTGTAAGTGTGCAGTAGGCTTTTAATTGCTTCAGTTTAGGCACGAGACTTTAAGCCTTAAGGCACATGAGATTTTGACCTGAAACTTAGGGTAGCTTTGTCCACAGGAAATTGGTAATTTCTATAGAGGCGGGGTGCAATACTGGGTTTTAATAGCAGAGGTGTGCAGGCCTCCACAAAGAAGCAGTGTGGAACTGGGGTGGTGGAGACACATAGGTTTCAACAAAGGCATAGAATGTGGAAGTAGGGCTCACCCAAATGCTGGTCTCCTAGGCGGCCTCAGCAGATGTCAACCCAAGGTGAGAATTAACGGGTGACTGGCTATGCTGGCATCAACAATGATGCTGGTATGTGCAGGCTGCTGCATGGTGACCTTGACCTATCTTAAATATGCATGTGTGAGTAACAGGCTTGTCAAGTGCTGCTAAGCCATTGGAAAGCAATCTCATTTGAGGTAAGAATTTAATGGAGAAAAAGAATATTAATACCTATACTAGACATCAATGACTATATCAGTATTTGCTACTTTTAAACGTCAAGGCAAATGTATGGGATACAGAGTTCTGTAGATTCTCAAGGTCTAAATTGTTCATGACAGTCATTGAAACACAGTGTAAAAGAAAAAGTTGAATCTAGAGATTTTGAATATACTAGATGAGAAGGATAAGAACCAGGTCAAAAGAGATCTGGTGATTGAGACTGCATCTGTGCATATTCTGTACTTTGTAAGAGGGCATCAGTGTTTCAAATGCCATTTTCTGAAAGAGTAAGATAATGGTGTGCCATGGTAGATGCATGGTGATAAATTTGCCCTCTTGATGCGAGGTTCTTCCCATTTAGTTTATGTATGCAGGTCATGTGACTAGAATGCTGCTGAGGCTAAGGCTGTCACCAGTTATCCTCCTTCCTGCAGATCCGTCGGTTTCTATTATAGAGTTTCTGCTACATACTGTCTTTGGTAATCACAACTACTGGATTCTGGAAGCATAATTTTGTTCAGGATAACTGCCATTTAAATTTGCTGGGTGTGAACCAAGTGCTGTGATTATCTTGGCTGATTTATTAACTCTAGACCTTTTGTAAATTGAGACACACCATAGACTTGATGTTGAATTCACTTAACTTTTGAGGTGTTGCATGAGTTGTATCCCAAAAAAAGACACCCAGGCTGCAGTTGCTGAAGGAATCCACTGAGGCATTAAGAAAATTTCTGGCTGTGAGTGAATGAAATAAGAATCTGGGAAGGACTTTAGTTAGACTTTTACCTTATGACAGCAAGGAATTTGATTCTGGGTTTTGATTTTTTAGTCTTGGGACATTAACTTGAAAGGTAACTTGATATATGGACTTAATTTTCTTCCTAGGAATTTGCATAGGGGAAGATTTATACTAAAATGTGGGACACTGACATTTTGCAGGCATTTTAATGACGAGTGGTCTTTATGTATTTGGATAATTCCCACTGAGACCACTTGATTGCGTCATCCAGAGTTGATAGAGAGCCCTACGGTGGAAATGTACACCTTATGGGCCTGGTGAAACTCAGATTTATAAACAGATTCAGTGTGGTATTATTGGACATATTTAAAATGTACAATTTGGTGAGTTTTGACACATGCATACACTTGTGAAACCATCACTGCAGTCACCTACTCATCACTATCACCTCCAAAAGTTTCCTCAGAACCCTTTGTAACTGATCATCCCAGTGGCTCTCCAAAAGAGCCAGCAGATAGTGGCAGAGGCAGCCTCTGATGTCTGTCACTATATAGTCTGCTTTTTAAAATATTTTATAAAATTGGAATTATATACTGTGCACTGTTTTTTGGCTTCTTTTAGTCAACATAATTATTTGTAGATTCACCCATGTTATTGCATTTATCAACTGCTTGCTCCTTTTTATTGCTGAGTATTCTGTTGTATGGATATACCAACAATCTGTTTATCCATTCACCTGTTGATTGTCATTTGGGTTGTTTCCAGTTTTTGGCTCTTACAAATAAACTACTATGAGCATTTTTGTATATGTCTTTTATGGGCATATGCTTTAATTTCTCTTGAATAAATACCTAGAAGTGGAATGGTTGAGTCCCAAGGTAGGTGGATATTTAACTTTTTAGGAAATATAACATCTATAAAGAGATTAGGCACTGGAAAAGTGGCTTCCTGCTAAAACTGAGAAAGTAGTTTATTAGGGGTCCAACAATGACACCCCTCCAAGGACCTCAGTAGTATCCCATTGTATCTCCTATATTATATCTATTTGCAGGGTAGGTCTTCCAATTCCTACTGGATACACATGCTGTTTTTCTACCTAACATCTTACCACTTAATCCCAAACTGTTCTTCAGAGTACCAATGAAATAACTGGGAAGAGTGTCTCCAGCAAACACTGATAACCTATTATCTTACCATTCTCGTTATTTTTACCAATTTCAGTTGTGAGCCTTTGCTCCAGCTAACTTACTGAGACTTACAGCAATATGAAATTAAATGTCTTCCAGAAGGCACTACATTAAAATAACCCAAATTATAGTATTTCCAGTGCATGTAGTGGCCTTTCCTGATGTGCTGTTAGATCAGGTTTCTTATTCTTTTGGGGCTAAAGATTCTACTGACATGAGCAGAATATTTGAAATTGACCTACTGAGGTTTAAGTGAATCCTCATAAACTCCCACCGAGGTCATTCTAATATCCACACAAACCCAAAAAAAATTTCAGAAATAAAACCAGTTATTGAGTCTTTGTAAACACAAGGATGATTATATCTCAGTTCTTGCAATACTCCCATATAGCCAGTTGAGAAGCCTATCAGAAAAGGCTACCATTTGTTCAAGAACGCAGAGTAAGCAATAAAATTGTGATTCCTAGATTCCTGGTAGTGCCCCATATGAAAGTGTCCTGTCCTCTAATTGCTGAAGAAGTAAATATTTCATAGTGGTATATTTATGTGCAGCTTTCTTGAGTAGACATGTAGATAAAGACAGTTAATATTTGTTTGCTATTTTGTGGAAAATTAACAACATATGTGGATGATTATAACATAGTTTCCCTTACCCTCAGTTTTGCTTTCCAGTTTCATTTACCCATAGTCAACAGCAATCTTAAAATATTAAATAAAAAATCCCAGAAATTAATAATTCATAAGTTTTAAATTGTGTGCTGTTCTGAGTAGTGTGATGAAATCTCATACCATCTTGTTTTGTCCTGCCTGGGATGTGAATCACCTCTTTGTCCAGAGTATCCAAGTAGTGTGCACCTGTTACTGCCCATTAGTCACTTAGTAGCCATCTTGGTTATCAGATTGAAAAAACATAAATGAAGTTCAGTACTATCCACGGTCTTAGGCATCCACTAGGGATCTTGAAACATATCCCCTGTGGCTAAGGGGGGCCTACTGTAGTATATACTCCTTCTTATTTTTTTTTCAATCTAAACAAAATAATTTTATTTTTCTTTAAGGGTTCATTCTCCTACAGTATGTAGATGATTTATTGCTGTGCCCTCTTGATCTAAGTAGTTCACAAGAAGACTCCATATATCTCCTTTCAAGATAAGCTAAAAAGAGACATAAGGAATTGAAAGAAAAGTCGTGATTTTGTGAAGAAACTGAACAAATTATTTGAGTCATGATCTATCAGCACATGGGAGTGTTCTGTGCACTGTAACAGAGATAATTCCATTTTAATAAAGCTCTAAAATAAAAGACAATGAAAAGTTTTTTGGGTTTCCTGGTTATTGCAAGCAATAAATACCTTTTTTTGTTTGTTTGTTTAATTGCTCCATCGTCTCATGAGCTTACTAAGACAGTTCCTGAACCTCTCTCATGGGATGCAAAAGTAGAAAAAGCTTTCTCCTCTTTTAATTACTGTCTTCAACAACCTCCTACTTT